GGGCCAGCCTATGGCGCCACTAACAAACTGTCTTTGAATCACCCGATGTACCTTATTCTGTTTCCACGTTTCGTCCCCAGTCCCAAATTTTCAAGAGTTTCTCTCGCAGGTCTGCCCCGTCTCACTCTGTATGATTGCGATTTTCGTTTCTGTCTATCAGTAATTAACAGCAGTGTCTTTGTAGAGTATCACAGTATGGTATCCGGGGAAGTGGTCACTTTTTTTTCTTCGCTGGGCAATAGTTGAAATATCATCCTTGTAGCAAAAAAGGAACGCATCGTGAAGCGCAAAGGCAATTTAGCTAAAAAGAGATAAAAAATCCATTTAAGCCTTTGGCCAACCAGGACTGAAATGCACTGTCCCTGGGCCATACTGCCTGCGCGTAATCTAAAATTATCAGATATTGGCAGTTATTCAACTCAATAAAATATAATTGAGCTGTGTGTATGGTGTTAATGAATGTGTAGTTCTGTTGCTGGCTGAATGGCGCTTCAGAAGGGTCACCGTTACCCGTCTTTTTTCCTGCTGGGCCTCGGCATCGTAGTACCTCGGGAATAACGCCATTGAGGTGGTACTATCCTAGGAGCAGTGCCCTTGAAATTCGCGGGACTTGACGTAGTTTAGCGTGGTTCTAAAAAAACGCTGCATTTGTCCAAGGCATGACGTCCGAGTGTCCAGGGCATGACCGTCCCAGCTAAGGATCTAGCGACTAGTGTATTGTATCGGAAAAATTTTTTGTAGGGTTGGCGAAAATTCGCACTGTTTTTTAAAGACTTTAATTTGGTTACACTTGTGCCCCGAATTTTGCGTTCATTTGATGAATTGCCTCATTAACTGAGTTTTCCGACCATTTTTTTTTTCTCAGTTTATTTTTCCTTCCTGATGAATTCAGTAGTTCTGGAAAAAGAGAATTGGGCGATACTGAAAAAAAAAGCCAGTGTTTCTATTTTAGGAATGCTGCTTTGTGGGCGAAGATCGAGGAGACTCCAGCTTTTTATGCCTGCAGGTACCAGTTCATTGATGAAACGAAGGGACGTTCGCAGTCCATGTGCGACTTAGAGATTTCGGATTCAGCCCTTCATGTGCGCGTGATTCTCAAGTACGGAGCCATGGAAATTTTTGGTGGGAAAATTGCTAATGCGGGGATCAGAAAAGCTAGAACGCTGAAATTTTAAGGGGATGTTGCTCGTTCTCGTGGGATCTAAAGATTTTAAAGGCTTTTTGAGAAAGGCATCTACAGCTTCTGGAACTGTGTTTTGGAGACGAGAAAGGAGAAAGACCGCTTGCACATAACTGCTCATTTGAATCGACCATGTATGGCAGTTTGAGGTAGTTCTGCCGAGAGCTGATCATGGACCTGTATCTGCGTTTTAATGCAAACACGAGACTGCTTCCTGTAAGCGGGTCTGGAAATCTGAGTGTCGCGTATTTCGTCCGGAAATGCATCGGGGAGGGTGGGAAGGTTACGAGAGGTCAACTATTAGTTAGTGCAGCTTCCGTGGCAACAACATGTGGACAACGGTCATCTGAATTGACCATTTCTTTTAAAAGTATTTTATTTTTATGGGTTTTTTACTGTACAACAGCTGCACAAAACGCATATTGCCACGGGGTTGTCTGTGTGTGTATGTATCTGTGTGTTTGTGTGTATGTGCCCGTGTGTCCAGTGCATCTCCTATTTCTTTGTAGCACGTTGGAGTTTGTGTACCATTAGAACAAGCAATGATTTCAGGTTTGGTAAGCCATATGTTGTTCATAGATCGGCTAAGAAGCTATTTTTGATAAGCAGGCAGTGCAGCAAGGCCGTAACAATTCTAGTTCAGTGGGTATTTTTTAATTTCTTATCAAGACATTTATGGGATCGAATTTTTGAAAAAAAAAAGAAAAAAAAACCACTTTTTCTGGGATCGATTCAGCCTTCCAAAAAATTGGCTTGATTTTAGCATGTCCACAATGACCTCTTCACTGTCAGTCTTGGCACTCACATTTTGCACGATGCCAAAAGCAGTGGGGCATTTTTTTTTTGTTGGTTCAGTTTTGTCAGAATCGAAATTTCGACTCTTTTTTTGTCGCCTCTTATTCACTTCCAATGATGACTGTTTTGTAGGATAGTAGAACTGTGAGCAAAAATTTGCGACCATGACAAGTGCTAGCATGCCTTCCACACCTGCGGCAGTTTCGTTACAGCAAGGAAATCAGGTTTCTTTATCTCCACATATCGATTTTTATATTATTTTGATAAGGCTATAGCTCAGAAAGGTCGTCCTCATGGCAGTTTTGGTTATCTCTGCTTCTAATGTCCGTTCTCTCGCAACCAGCCTCTGTTTCCTGTAGACCATCATGGGATGTGAGAGAAGCACGTATATGAGCTGAACTGGAAAATCCGACACATCCAACAGTATTTGATTTTTGAAAAACAAAAGAAGGGGATGAATGCCAGTATCAGCAGTAGCAGATGGACCATTATTTGATATAATTTCGATCATGGTGACCGTATAAACATTTAAGACACAGCTGTTTTTAGATTTGAAGGACTTTTTTTGAATCAGAATTAATATACGTTTATAAGTATTGTAGAAATTTTAGAAATACAAACAATGAATATTCCTAGCTAGGAGCTATTGGAAGAGGGCGGGGGTCTGAAATCGTCTATGCGTTAACACATGCAGTTTGTTTGGCGTTTGCTCGCCCAGCAGCGTGGAGAGGAGCACAGTCGAATTTTGATAATGAAAACACTAGAAGTGCCATTTAGATCTGCCGTATAGGCCAGCCTGTACGATTATAAATTTGGCTGCGAGTGCTTTTTGAGACGCTCCACGGTGCATTTGTATTTTAGGATGTTCTTTGTTTTTATAAAATGTCTTTAGATGGCGCCTACAACGACCGGCGGTGCTACATCGTCGGCTGGGCAATTTGAACATATCACTGTAATGACCAGTTTGCAACAAACTCCGGAAGCATGCACTGAAATGACAGTCTCGTCAGCTGCTGATGGTGGTACCAAAATTCTATAATTGTTTGTCTTTCAGCCCGGGGCTGCTTCAGTTTTTTAGTGCTCCTGAGGAGCCTCCTCCCCTCCCCCCTCTTCTCCGTGAATATGTCGTTCTCATGTTTGGTGCTGATGACCGAAGAGTCGCCGTTTTCTGCCCCGAGCAACCAAATAGCTCCAATGCTAGTAGCAGACTGCTTTAAGATCCCGTTTCGTAAGAAATTTTATGGTACAGCAAGAATCATGGTTACGGTACACTGGCCAAGGCAGTTTTCGGCTCAAAAACTGAATGAGCAGACTAGCCATCTGTTAAGGATTGCAGCTATCTTTTATTTTTTTCTCCTTTCTTTTTTTTGGAGGCGGGTGGGAGGGGAATGAGAAGGTTCGACTTTCAGCCGTAATGAGTCTAATTCTGTTGATAAGTGAAATCATATGGAAGCAAATGAAATTTCCCTCTTTCAAAATTGTTTGGATAGAAAATAAAGCAGGCAAATTGAGTAAATAGGTCTTTTTTTTTTAAATTTTTTGACGTTTGAAGTTTTTGTAAAATGTATAATACTACCTGGTTGATTTGTGTTGTCTTCTGTATTGTACTTCAACACAGCATTGCCTGATTACTGTACGATGTTTAGGGGCATACGCAGTTATCACTACGACAAGTGCGGCCGGGCTTCAAATTTATCCTCCGTCAGCAATCACCCAGCAAGTTCAACAGTCTGTACCAGCTCTCAGTGCATCACTGCCTTCAGAGGGAATGCAAAATCGAGCCGTAGTAACCGGTACAACACAGCGAACACAGCCTTTCCGTTCCAGCAGTACTCGTGCGAAAACGTATGTGTTGCTACTCGATATGGGATCGAAGGGCCTCTGGCATAGTAGTGCCCGACGTGTGGAAGCATCCCACTAACGTAGGATTGCCACTTCGAATTGTCTGAGCGAACTTGGCATAAATATGAAGGACAGGTGGGGAAACAGGGATTAGCTAGTGTCAGCGAGCATAGGTAGATCCGGCGGCATAGCCACCAGTGCTGCAAATGTCTGGGTCTAAAGCTAAAACTGAAGAAAACTCTCTTCCGCACCCCCAGGAGCCCTGCCTTTCCCCCCGCCCGGCTTAGTCATCGTCGCACTAGAAGCTCCACCTTCTCCCTCCCCCCTTGCCTCTGGAATCCGTCCTGGATCCGCCTATGTCATCGACTGCAGCAGGCCCGGGATCGTATTTTCAGGTTGTACACAACTGAATTATTTTGGATAGCTTTTGCAGATGATGTAGTTGCAAGCTTTTCTCAGGTTAATTGGCAGTTTTAAAGCATACCGTTAGATTTTCTGATGTTTCCTGCATTCCCGAACACTGTTCGGACAGTTAAAGTTTTGCATCCCTTCTCCCTTACCAACACTACACCTTTTTTGAAACTGTTGTATTGATTGGTGCTACTTTTCCTGCAAAGAAAATCATTGGCCCGTGTACTTTTTTTCAACAACATTACTGTATGGTGTATAATTGAGGCTGCTCGCAATTGCTGCGATATGGAGCACAAATCATCCAGCACGAACACATTTTTTGTATTTATATCATTTCTGCAGAGTGTGTACCTTCCTTTGTGCACCTTTTAAATTTTTTTTTTTGTGATTTATTATCTTTGCAATCCTGTCGTGTATTCCCTGACACAATGTGTCAAATAGTCCGACAGCTGAATAGTTTTGTGATCTTTCCGCCTGCTGCCTGATTTAAGAGGACGAAACGAGCATTAGAATCGCCAGCTGTGTGTTGGTGAACTAGACTACAAATTAACTGTTGCTCCATGTTTAGGGGCTGTACTGATGATTCCCGCTCCCAACCGCACCTTATACTGTCTGTGTTAACAGCTAAGGGATGAAACACAGGCAGACCTTTTCCTGCATATTCCTCCCCGCATGACCTTTCGACATGTCATACGATTTTGTGTCACATGAATTGCCCTGCTGTCTTTTTTCTCATAATTTATTAAGTTAACCCCGCCCTCGGTTGAAATTTTCGGACTGTGGCCGTTCCACATTTTGTTTGTTTCGTACCATCCGTTTGTTTAAAAGTGATGATTCGGCCTACCAATGGCCGCAGTTTATTTTAGCAAACTTATCCAACCCTTCGTTTAAACTTCCTGTTACTGGCCGTTCCACATTTTCCACTTTTTTAAGATTACGATTCGGCCTACTAACGGCCGTAATCTGTTATGCCAGGCGCAGTTATTTGTATTATCTTTGAATGAAAAATTGATGCGCATCCTGAAAATTTCTGAGAGCTCTCTGTTTGCAGTTTCAGATCAACAACACCAGCACTCAGTCGTGGTGGTGCTACAAAGCAGCTTGCCAGTATAGCTATGACAGCTGGTGATGACGGGCCAACTGTACGACAGCACTTGCAGCAGCAGCACAAAGTTCGCCTACAGCAGCAACAGCAACAGCAGTTGGCACTGCAGGAGAGAATGAAGTCAGATAAGGTATCCGTTTTCGCCGGATTGCTTTTGACGATTTTCTGTTGCTCAGGCCCATCATAGAGGCCAGCGCTCCATGCCACTATCACCGGCTATTTCTCATTCTCTAATTTGGCAAAAACTTGAGTAGTTGAGTTTCATTGCATGTAAGGATTCCGCTTGAATGAACTTTAAGAGGAACTTAACCTCTGCCAGTAATGATATTGAATGAGTTAATTTAGACTGAAATCACCGGTGATTATGCAACAAATTCGTTGTTGCCGGTGGATACATCATTGCCATCATGTTCGATAACCTCAGTGATGAATTTGACAACGTCGTCCGCTTCTTCGCAGAGTATGCCCGAATTAGCTGCGTCAAGCATCTTATGTTCGGTCCCGGTCAGCATGTCAACATCAGCCATCCCGTTTTCCATCTCGGATTTGTCTGAATCTTCCCCGGTAAATATGGCAACTTCAAATTCGATTTATGTATCAGCATCAGCCCCACTGGACATGTCCACTTCAGCCTCAGTGAGCATGCCAACAACTGCGTCGATGAAAATGCCAGTATCGGCCCCCAGAAATATGTCTGAATCTGCCGCTATGAATGTACCTCAGCCATGCTGCTCGGTAAATATGTCTGATCCAGCTTCGGCAACTGTTCCCGCGTGCACTTCGATAAATTTACTTGGCGCTGCTCCTCCTCCAATGGATGCACAGGCACTGGCGCCGATGAGCATGCCAGGACCAGCTTCGATGAGTATGTC